CGCGGCGCTGCGGGCGCAAAGTTTCTTGCGGGCTGCGAGGGGCCGCGCTGCGCCCCGCGCCGAGCCCGGCGCCGCGCTATGCGGGAGCAGCGCCCATGTGCGCGCACGGGGCAGCTGCGGGCGGGCGGCGGCATGGAGCCGCTGGCGCTGCCCGCTAGCCCCGGGCTGCGGGCTCAGCGCGCCTTGCCGTGTCTCTTGGCAGAGGAGGCCTACCAGAAGCTGGCCAGCGAGACCCTGGAGGAGCTCGACTGGTGCCTCGACCAGCTGGAGACCCTGCAGACCCGCCACTCCGTCAGCGAGATGGCCTCCAACAAGGTAGGAGCCGCCGGGCAGCGGCGGGACCGGCCGTTGCGCGGGGCGCCGCGGCGTTTCCGCGCGTGTCGCTCGCGGAGCCGCCGCGCTGGCCCCGGGCATCCCGCCTGGCTGCGCGCCGGCGGCCGGAGCGGTGCGTGGAGGGGCTCATGCCCCGCGCGGAGCCCGAGCGGTGCGTGGAGGGGCTCATGCCCCGCGTGGAGCCCGAGCGGTGCGTGGAGGGGCTCATGCCCCGCGCGGAGCCCGAGCGGTGCGTGGAGGCGCTCATGCCCCGCTCGCGCGGAGCTGCCCCGGCGCGGGCGAGGTGCGGAGCAGGTGGTCGCGCCCCGCTGGGCGCGGCGCCCGTTCCCCCCCCGGGCCGGCAGCGCTGCGGGGCCCCGCGCGCGCGGAGCCCCCGGCCCGCTGCTCCCCGCCTTGCCGCGGTCCCCGCGGGCCCGGCTCGTGGCGCTGCCGCTGGTGCCGCGAGCTGGTGCCGGTACCGCGCCGCTGCGGAGCGCCGGAGCAACGGGAGAGGAGAGGGAAGTTTTAATTAGAGCGAATAAAGGGACTTTTTCCTTTTTTTTTCCCCCCTTTATTTGTACATAAGAAAGCGGATGTTAAATGTTTTCATGCTTTTTCACCACTTTAGTTGTAACTGGGATTTTTTTTTTTAAGAGAAGAATTGTGAGGTTTTACTCAATTTAAGCCCCATCTTTATTTTTATTTTTGTTTTTATTTTGCTGCCGTGTTTTGAGCGCTGTTACCAAATATCTGCAGTTCCTCATTACTGCTTAAGCCCGTGTTTAACTCAGGCCACATGTAAGATGCCAGGTTGTACGAGAGCTTGCAGTCTTGCAGTTTAGTCCTGCAAGAGATGTATTTCTTTTCTTTGCCATGCCTTGTGTGTTTCTGATCATTAGAGACTGGGCAGCAATTAAATCTACATTCAAAGAGTTATCTATTTGGAGCTGTCCCAGTTGCAAAACTGTGTTTTATTTTTATCAAAAATTGAAAAATGTAATGTATATGTGTATGCTTATATGTATATGTACATATATACATATATGTATATATGAGACATATATATGTGCTTTGACATATGACAGCCGTGTGGCACATGTGCTTTGGAGAGTTTGGGAGTCCGTTTCAGCACTTTCTGAACTCGATAATAAAACTTCTCTTGGCAAACACCTCTTCAGGCCAACACTTATGGCCTGGTCTTTTCCTGCAAACGTGTTTGAATATCTCTCAGTTTCCTCATAGAGTGTCTGCATAGCCATTATTTCACAAGAAGCTGGGCATCCTTCAAGTGTTTATTTATTACATCCCTAAAGCAGAGAGAACATGTCATATATTTTATGAAATGGAAAGCAAGATATTTTAGAGTAAGGTATAATTAATTACAAATCAATCTTTTTACTTTAACTGCAGCTTTTTATTAAAAGAAGATTGGTTTTTTATTATTATTATTATAAAAGATGACCACTGCTTTGCATTTATAAATAAATACCTAAGTACTGCATCCTATACTGTTACATTTGTGTTTGTTTGAACTAGTTAAAGGATAGTTTACCGTAGCTTACTAGGTAAGCTTACTGGGTAAGCATTCTTACATAGCTTACTGGGTAAGCATTCTTAACCTGTTTATTGAAACTGAAAGGAAAATGTGATTCAAAAGCAAGTTTGTTTTCTTGTATTAAAAATAAGATCATGAAGACAAGGGATACATGTGAACTATACAATAAGAACAGTTGCAGTGTTCAGGAACGCTGTGGGTTTTACTGACTTGGGAAGGAATAGATACAAGAGTACCCAGTTGTGTATCCTAAGAATAGGTCTTGTAAAATCAGATGTGAAAAATTGGGAAATGGAACATTGTCAATTTTAACATGGTTTTTCTCACTGTTTTCCTCTTTCTGAATTCCTTCAATAAACCTGTTCCCAGCGCTCCATTAGCAGTAGCTGGTGACGTGCACACATCACATGTCTGGATGACTGAAAGTGGGATGATACGGATATGGGAAAAGATCCTTCTTCTGTTCTCCCTGCTTAAGGTTACTTGAAGAGAGCAGGCAAGCCGTGCTTGCCACAGCCCCAGCATGGTGTGGGTGCCAGCGCACCCCCAAAAAATGCTCTAGAGCTGCCCTTTAGGAAGCCAGACAAGATGCCTGGCTGGCAAAGTTGCATCCAGATCCAGCTGTTTTTGAGATGATGCCTCAGCTCCCAGGCATCCCTGAAGTGGCAGGTTCCCGAGCGCCTGGAGCACTGCGTGTGAGAGCGGTCACGGGTAGATCTCTGATGCACAGATAGGAAATAAATCACTTTAGAAAAGGTCATCGTATTTAAAAGTACTGTTATAACTGTCACGGTACTTGGTGTTTTCTTAACTTACCTCATGAAATCAGGTGGTAACTAGGGAATCCCGACTTCCCTTAAAAAATTAAGGAAACTTCTGGTACTAATATTTGTGCAAGAAAAAAGTCTTGAAAGGCCTAGAAATTAGAAAACAGATAGGAGTCTTAAATTTTAAAAATGGACTTTAAAAAAAAAATGGCAATTTATTTTATAGATTGTATGTTGTCAATTTGGGGTATACTCAGTGTACCCCAATTCTGAGCAGGGACTTATTTGTTATCTGAAACAGTAATGACTGTTAAATAAGCCATGCCAATAGTAAAGATGTAGCAAACACTTTCTGCTGAACTGCACTAATTGTAGATTAGTCAAACACAGAGGAACTCTATAATGAAACGGATATGCAAACAGATATTTTCACTTCTGTAATTACGACTGTGCAAACATATCTAATGTATCGCTTTGTGTGTTTGGGTACCTGAATTTAGACATGGAAAAGTTTCAGTTCATGTTGTTTCTGTTTTAGGTTTACTGTAGTTTGCTTTTTTGCAGGATTTGCTAGTAACTGGCAATAAACAGCAACTTGGAAAAAAAAAACTCATTGAGATTTGATCTTAGGATCATCTTGGAGATTTCTTTTATGCTGAAAACTTCTGTGAATATCTCCTTGCTAGAGGAAGGTTTTTAGGTGTTGGTATAGATATTAGGTAGAGATATTAGGTTTAGATTAAATAAGATTTAAGTTTAATTCAGTTTGACTGTGCTAACTATGAAGCTGCTTTTTTGTTTCTATACTAACTACTTTGCCCGTCTAATATGCTAATATTTGAAAATGATCAGAGACAAAAGCTGAAGTTCATTTACAGGCAGTTTTTAGTGCTAGTTGTTATTGGGGAAAAAAAAAATCTATATTTTGAATTCTGTGAAGATACCCAGAGCATCACATTTATTTGACTAGAGTATTTGAAAATTAGTCCATAGTGTAACAATTAGTGCAAATGTCAGTGGGATCTTCGTTTATGTTTATGGTCCTGTACTTGTCACCCATGTGAGACATGTGAGACAATAACCTCGCTATCAACAGATATATCAACAAGAAATAAGGGAGCTTTGTACTGGCAATTAATAAGATTTTATTAAAAGAGTAGCTTTTCCGTACACATTTAGTGTAAGTTAAGAGGACAATGGAAGAAAAAAAACAACCAAAAAAACTCCACTCAAAATCTGCTCCCTTGGTTCATTTTTTGCCCTTACGTTGGGTCCTGACTTATCTTGCCAGTGTGAGCTGTTCTATAGCCACATTTTCCTGTTGCTAAAAAGTATTTTTCCGCTCTTCCTCTGCAGTGCCTGTTGCATTTCATACAGCCAGCAGAGAGAACTGACCAACATACCATCCTTGGAAAGAAAATTTTAAAAAAAGGTTAAACTAATTACTTAGTTTAAAAGCTAGATGGTTATAATAATAGACTGTACATCCCCAGAGATGCTTTGAACAGGAGTGTTGTTGTAGCACCGCTGTGTCTGCTCACAGCCCAGGTGAGCCCAGCTTTGTTGCGTGGCTGGAGCTCCTTGGCACCACAGGCACCAGCTCCTGCCTGGAAAGGACCTTGTTTTGGGGTTGTCCTGTCATTGCTTACGTCTTGGTGCGCAGAATTGGGAATAGGTTCTGGCTCCTGACTTGGTCCGTTCGTCCTTTCCCTTTGTTTTAGTCTGTGGAAGAAACTTAAGTGGTAATGTGGTCAGAAACTCCATAAGTGCTTAGACAGAATTAATCTAAAACTAATGAAATGGCTAATGAAAGTGGCTAACGTCACTTGCTTAATCATGGTTGAGAACTCTGCTTTCGTTAACAGGCTGTTTTTTAGTGTTCTCTTTTTAATTGTTGCTGCTGACTTTAGTCATGCAATTTATCACACAGGTAGAACCTTCTTTTTAGAATTTGCATTTTATATGTAGGAACATATATATATTTTTTTGTAATAGTTTTTACAAATGTGAAGGCTCAGGCAGAGAGAAGTAGTATCCCCTTTGTCGTAGTCACAGATGAGTGACCTGCTTCCAGTTATGGGGAAGGATAATGTTGTCGTATTGACTTAAGAGGATTTGAACATCAGTCGTTCTCTTGGGTGTCAGCTACTGCACATGAAAAATACGTGCTGAAAACAAAACAGGGGAAAAGGAATTTGTTGTTAGCGTGAGTAAAGTGCTGTGAAGCAGAGAGGTCCCCTGCTTTGCTTCTCAGATATAAAGAATGCAAAAATCCATGGGGTTTATTGCGTGACAGTGCCCTTATGTAATGTCTGGCAGTAGCATCGCACTTAGCCAGCTGACATGGTAGTTTAATTGGCTCTTGACGTTCCCAGATCTTTCTAGGAAAATCCAAGGATTTAGTTAGCTCTTTAGAGCGCTGCTTCTGACAAGGGTGCAATTAGGCAAGAGGCAGCTGTTTCTGAGCAAAAGTTTGAGTGCAGCATCAGCGAAAATTTTATTCATTAAGGGTTTGGATTTGTGTGGTGACAGAGTAGAGAGACCTGAGCGTATTAGAGTGATGAATCTGGGAACCTGAATGGTTGCATGTTCATACAGGATGCCAGTTTTTATTCCATAACAAGAGAAAAGGGCAAGAGCACTGTGCAGGGAAGGGAAAAACATCCTTTCCAGGTTCGCTC